CGACTTTAAATGATTTTATTGCAGTTTTAGCCGTATTTAACTAAATTTCAATTGAATTTCATCCGATTTCAATTGATTTTAAAAGGAATTCTAATTAAATTTCAATTGATTCTAACGGGATTTTAATTCGACTTCAATTGATTTTAAAAAGAATTCTAATTGAATTTCAATTGATTCTAACGGGATTTTAGTTCGATTTCAATTGATCTTAAAAGGAATTCTAATTAAATTTCAATTGATTCTAACGGGATTTTAATTCGATTTCAATTGATTTCAAAAGGAATTCTAATTAAATTTCAATTGATTCTGGCGGGATTTTAATTCAAGTTTAATTCATTTTGAAAGGAATTTAAAGGCGGCCCTGCCAAATCCTTTCAATAAATATGCCCCCCCTGATAATAAATAATTTCTGAGCCCCCGGATTATTTATTATTACGGGGGGGACGTCCTTTATTATTAGGGGAAGCGATTAGTCTCAAGGTCTCAAGGCAGCTGAAGCTGTGCACAGCACCCAACTAAGATTTCTGCATATCAAAGCTTCTACAAACAGGAACCCTGATGTGAATGCAGGCACTTATCATGCCATGCGAAATGCTGTTGGCCCCACCTCCCAGTCGTTGGACAGGGACTTGTAGAAGGAGGCATACTCCTCGTTGGTCACATCCTGCAGCAAATTTCAGCCACGTCTGCACTACTTGCATGCCATCCTTAACAGCTTCCCACGCACCATAAAGCCTGATCTCCAAGCGTCAAAAGCTGGACTAGCAAAAAAAGGCCTGAAACCGAAATACAGACCCTGGGCCGCGGGCCTCAGACTTTCGCATCCACAGCGGCTTGTTCCTCATGTTTCTGCAAGTTCAGTTCACGCATCGCCCATGCGACGACAGGTACGATCCCGTGGTGCTGCTAATTATTCGTGCCTGTGGAAGCCCTTCTCATAATCAGAAATATGGTAAACGCAAATGTGATGAACATGTTAAGGCTTTGCTCGCTGACCACATGAAGGCTCTAAACCGGAGGGTAATTTATGAAACCATTGCTGTCCGACCTCTCGTGCATGCGAGACTCTTGTTCAGCTGCTCCCACTCGTGCGAGACTTCCTTCACCTTCCTCGGGGGCGGCGATCGCTCTATTGCAAGGATCCCAGATACGTATACCAGGGCTCCAATGAAATATCATCCATTCGCATTCAGCAAGGTCAGCTGCGCTACTCGCTTTGCTCAGGCCGGAGTTGTCAATCATCAACTGCAGTCCCAGACACTTGGTCTTCTTCTTCTTCTCCTCCTTCTCCTTCTCTTCGTCAACCTGCAGGATGTGTGGGGTTTCAGGATTTGGAGACAAGGGTCCGCAGCAATCAAGATGGCTACATGAGGGGTTCCCGGGCATCAGATCCCCACAAACTAGACTCCCTCTTGCATCGACCCTAAGGAAAGGTTTCAAGATTTTGGCCCATGCTTCATTTCTTTTCACGGTGGAGACCCGCACATCACCGACATCTTGCTGTCCCTCTTACAAGAAGGATTCTTCCATTGGAGTCTGCCTTTTTTATTCAGCCCGAATGGAACCACATACCATCACATACCTTTACAACTTCTATCAACTTCCCAAACCCTAAGCCCTGGATCACTAAAAAACTGAAACAACAAACTGCTACACCGCAAAACCTGAATCCCGAACAATTCCATTCCAAGGGTATCACCAGAGATACACCCTTCAACGAAACCAGCCAAAAACAGCACCGACACGCGTTAACCCTGAACCACAAACGCAACCCTGGACCTTGTAACAGCTACGCGCTAGCCGACACATCCCCAAACCAATTCGCCTGAGCAAACACCTAACCCGGAACCACTGCAGCGTCCCAAATCGGTAAGACTGGCCTCCTCGATCTTGGGCTCGTCGCCTGCAACCCGAGGGGCTGAGCTTGGGCATTGGAACATGGAGTTTACCGGGAATTTCAAGCAGCTAATGGGAAGCAAACAGGTGCACGGAAGCCAAGCCGAATCCCAAATGAGCAAAAAACTCGCAGAGAGCATGCCTTCTCATGGGCTGCCTTTTCTCAGACCCACATGTTTTAAGTACCTCTTCACCTTCTTGCTAGTCGGAAATGAACACCCTAACGCACCCGAATCCCAGGACCGTGAACTGCAGGAAGACGCGCATGCCTTCCTTCTCATCCTTCTTCTCCTCCTCTTCTTCCTCGGAGTCGGTCACCTCCTTCTCCTGCCCAGAAAAAAGTGGAGGCCACTAAACTTCCGGGTCAAATAACCTCGGGATTTCGATTGTTTTTGCTTCGGTAAGAGCCAAAACTACAGGTGTTAGCCTTGGCAATATACGCTATCAAGGTATATCTTGGGATTGTTGGATGTCTCAATCCTCCCGCGATCTATGAGCTTCCAGATACAACCTCCTATGTAGTCCAGCCAGTTTGGCATGGGAAGGGCAAGTCTAAGCATCCTGCCTTGGACTTCTCCACATAGAGCTCAATGGGGAAGCCGATGAACTCGGAATGCTTCTTGACCAAGTCCTTCAGGCGTCGCTCCTCCAGGAACTCCGACTGGTCCTCCTTGAGGTAGCAGATGATCTTTGTGCCTGCAGCGCAAAATCAAAGACTTTCTCTACGGGTACAAGGATAAATACCACATAGCAAATCGCGAACGACTTCTTGCTTGCGCGGTGCCGCGCTTGATCTCGCCGTGCACGAGCTCGGTGTCCTTTTGCACAGTGAATGATCCGCCGGCTCCAGACTCCCAGATGTACTGCCTAAGCATCACAGATTTCAAGGGCGACAAATGCCGTGACGACGCTGAAGATGGCATGAAACCTAACTTCAACACATAGCAAACTCTGCCCTGTCAAGTTACTCGTCGTCGTTGTGCTTGCTGACCACACGCACCTTGTCCGAGACAAGGTAGGCGCTGTAAAAGCCGACGCCAAACCTATCCAAGATTTGGTAACTCTTCAAACAGCAAATCTCTAATACTATAAAGGGGCCATAAACTGATGGGAGGATATCTTCGAAACGAAAATTCTATTCAAATGCACCCGAGAAACTGGCCAATCATGGAGATGTCGCCACCTGCACTCGGCCCAAACAGCTTCGTCGCATCACTTGACATGTGATGTTTTCAAAGGGCGGCCCTTTGTCCCCCTCTATCTTCCACACCAATACCGCGTGACTGTAGGGAACCGCAAGAACAGGCCCCGAACTTTTAGCGAGCTCTCCAAGGACCTTCCGGTGTCTGTCACGTTTACAATGCAGACTGCAGCTGGCCTGTATCAGGATAGGGTACGAGGTTGACGTCTTGCTTGAATTGCAAGAGCCTGGTCCTGTATCATCTGGTTGAATACCAGGAGCATCGTATAGACTGTTTGGAGAGGTCGCTACTTTTCAAACCCCCGACAATCCTAAAAGCTTAAACCTCATGCATCCCGCCTGCGGCCATGGCCTCCATGAAAGCCTTCGTGCCGGACTTCGCAATGGTACCCAAGTTGTTGATCAACTCCTAAGGTTCGCGCACGCGCACAGGCACATATTCGACAGCCGTGGACCTTGGGGTCGCAAAGTTCATAGGGCATCGATGACAGAGCGGCGGAAAGTAGCCTCTGAATGCTGGCTGATCTCTGGAGGCATCACCCCAACGTTTCTGCAACAAAACTGGCCTCACACGAACCATATGCATCAGAACGGCCTCATCCTACCGTTTGAGATGCTGAGAAGCCGTGGGCCACCCCAGACGTTTCTGCAGCAAATCCTGTGGCACCGGGGGCCTGCTGTCGGCGAAGGCCAGGCAACGCCAAACAGCATGTTCCCAAGTGGACGGCACTCTACGCTCACGGTGCTGGCATCCATTGCCCACCTGTCCCTCTGTCATGAGTTCATAAACAGCATCATTGACTGCACCGCCTGCAGGAACGGCCATAGCATGAGTGCCGTGTTTGCTTGCCAGCTTCCTCGCATGCTTGCATTTGAGTTCACTAAACTGACGCGCCTCGTGGGCTAAGTCACGTGCTTCGCGCCTTTGGGACTCTCTGAGTGAGTCGCACAGCTTCCTGCGCCACGACTCTCTTAAAGGGTTTTTTGCATGGGCATGTGCTGCTGCCGCCCACGAAGGCTGCAGTTGAGGAGTCGGAGATCAGAATGTTTCCCTGTCATCTGCTCGTGGGCTGCCATTTGAATGAAGCCATCCATGCGCAGACATTGTGAAGCCAGGCGCTGGTTCAATTCGTGATGCCCACTCCGCAACTTCGCCCATTGCTTGACGAGCCTTTTGCATCATGCACCATGCCTGCTCCCCAGCAACAGACTGCGACCATAGAACAAGCGTTTGAGGTGCACGCTCCACGCCTGGGCTCTTTGCCTGACGCTGATGCCGACAGCAACCGCCTTGCGAAACTAGTTTTTCTGCTCCTGTGTGTGGGGGCTCTTCGCCACCATCCAAACCATACCATGGGCATGGCCGCGATTGCCTGAATCCACAGAGCACGTGGAACAGTCGTGGATATGGCTTCTAGTCTGAAATTCCACTCCCAGGACGCCACACTGCGCCGCCAAGACGTCAGCATTTGGCAACAAGTTAAGCATTCGAGCCAGCAGACGGTGACCTGCTGTTTGTTCGGCGGGAGTGCCTGTTGGCACACGTCTCATCTTGCTCATATTTTCTTTCACGCCCACATCTTCGGACTCTGAGGCCCACACCCGCACAAAATCGACGGTGACCTGAGCAGCTTGCAAAACAGCGCCGATCATCCAGGAAAGTGATCAGTTCCATGTCATGAGCTGCCCGTCTCCTCCCAGCCTGAACTTGTTCAGCTGGCCTACTCAGGAAGGCGAGCAACGCCAGCGGCGACAGCGGATCACCCTCAGGCAGCGAACTGGCGACCCATCTCTTTTGGCTCACCCAGACCCAAGTCAAAGCGCTTGCAACCTCTTGGGGGAGGCCCGCCTTTTGCAACGCCCCAATAACACTTTAGGGATTAACACGATCGAAGGCTTCGGCATAATCCAGGCTTGCCAGATAGGTGCCAGGCTTGAACTCGGGGTCTATTTGCGCCACTGCTGTGTGAACCCCTTTGCGATTGACAGCTCCATGAGCATGAGCTGGGATTCCATGCGGTTGGCCGCAACTTTGAGCACAAGAGCTGTTTTGTATGACTATAGTAGCCTATTCCAAGCCAACCAATAGCTGCACACCACTCTTTGTACGTAGCTGGCGCCTAGCCAGCATCCGTCGCTTCAGTGGCCTCGGCACCCCACCTTCCAGAAAGGAGCATAGCCTTGCGGCTTCTTGGTGGCTTCTTTAGTCCTACCCACAGTGTCCGCCTTGTCAACAACGAATTGGCCGGCACGGGCTTTGGTCACAACCGCTAAACAAGTGAAGTCACAGTTGCCCATGGCACCGCAATTGAGCTCAGCCCAAGTGACCTCGTTTTTCAATCGCTTACCACCCACAGCTGAGGCACTGTCGGCTGCGGCAGAAGCACCCCTCTTCCCTTCAAGTCGCGGCTGCTGAGCGCTGTCCTCTTGCTGTACATGCTCATTGGGCTGCTCTTGCGTCTGTTGAGGCTTACGCAGCTGAGGCTTTTGCTTTGGCTGGCCTTTGCCCTGTCCCTTCTCCATCTTCGGCGCTGGTAGCGTGGTTGCAGAAGATGGTACTCTTCCAGTGGGTCTGCTGAGGAGAAGCCCACTTATCGCCAGCAAAAATTCCAAGGCGCATTGTAAGCTGAAAAACCATGGCATTCTGCCACGAGCCGGGTGAATGATGTCAATACCCGTCCAACCCGCCCCAGTGAGGCACGGAATCAAATCACATTCTGTCCACACTTTTGGCACACAGGTCACCTTGCACGCATAAGGCTTGGGCGGGCAACGCCTAAGCAACCCGCAAGCGGTGACTCCCAAAGCTGAGACTGGAAATCACCCCTAAGGACAAAAGGAAGGCCATAGGGCGCACTGGCTTCACAAGCTTGTCCAAAAATCTCGTCAGTAGCGGCAGGATCATTAATATTTGCCTAGAAACTAACGAAACAAAACTTGAAGAAGCGACTCCTACAACAAACCTCGGTCAACGCTGCAGTGACACGGGCCGTAGAAAGCCCAAGATTGACCGACTGAAAGGGCAACCGAGAAACGGCGGCGGTGCTGGGAAAACTTCCATCGGGACGGGAAATGGCAGCGCGCCAACCCCTCTGCCGCCCAAGACTTTGAAAAGAGAGGGAATTCTCCGCACTGAGATCCACCTCCTGAGGCGCTGGCAAATCAAAATCTTGTTCCTGGACAGTGGCAAGAATAGGTCCCGAGTAGGACCCACCCCGCATCCAACATAGGGCCTAATCCGAAGAAGGCGCTGCAGACTTGCCCAGAAAGGCCCTTCAGCATCTCGAGAATGATCAGCTCGGGGTTTCGGGCCTCATAGCCGACCTCTCCAGCAAGAGGCTTCCAACACCATAACGCGCTGCTTCTGCATTGCCAGGTCAGGGCAATGATGCTCGCCCTTGCACTTGTGCTTAGTAACTTGCTTGCTCTTTTGGTAGCAGCAGCGTCGGCAACGATGGAATCCTAATTTAGGGAACTACCCATATACTCACGGTAGCACAACTGTCTACAACTCAGCGCATTTTCAAGTCTCGTTCTTGGTCACACCGATGCCAAAGTCCTCAACGGTCAACGTCGACTTGGTCTTGTCCAGGATGCTCCTCGACAACACTGACAATTCAGACAAGCAGCAATGAAGCAGGCACGCAGGCAGGCGAGCAAGCAACCCTCCATCTTCAGATCACACGCTGGCTTCACGACGCACGCATGACGAGAACGTGGGACACGAAAAGTCAAAGCAGCACCACCCGAGAAAATATGAAGCTTTTCCACACACACACCAGTCAGGTTGCTTAATGAAGAAGTTCGGCTGAGCCTCAGCAGTTGTTATCTTTGTACGGCCAGTCTCCATAGCAGAAAGCGTGAAGAGCAGACCATGTCCCACCCAGCTCATCAGAAAGAACGCACACCTTAGCTTCTGCCCCGACGCTCGTCGAGGACAGCCTTCCGAACCTTATGATGAATGACTGCGCGGTCACCAGCCATTCAACCTGAGTTTCAGCGGCTCCCGTGGCCTGACAGGCCGAGACTCCCGAAAAGCTGAGCACTCCCACGTCTCGTGGAACCAGCTCGGGACAACTTGTCGATCACACCATCTGCACCGTTCCGGCACAGCACCGTGAGCAGCAACCCCAAACCAGGCATCACTAACGGCACCTCCAGTAAGAACAGCCCTAACATGAGAACTTCCCTTCCTGTACAGTTCAGCAGCTGCTTTGAGGCGTCTGGAACAGTTCCGCACCCCAACACAAGAAAAGGCGTCATGGCGACCGGAGCGCAGCCACCTTTGAAAACACCACTCCCGCCAGCTCTCCCGCACATTATGCAAAGCCCGTTCCTTACCCCGCACCTCTCATGCCTCCACAGCCAGGGCCCAAGAGCCTCCCACCCCCCACTGACCAAGGCACGCAGCAACCTCGGCAAGCCAGCTCCCCCTTGTAGGTCTCTGACTCCACTCAGGGGCCCAACCAGAGGCAACCACGTTATAAAGCTCAGTGACAGCCAACAAAGCCGCCGTAGTCCTCAAGTGTCTTCGGAGGTCCGGCGATCCCATGGCCCTATAGACCCAGAGGGTCTGGTCGATGGCCTTCTGTGCAGCGGCCCAAGCCCTTCCCGGCTGAAATAGCCAGCAACCCCACGCAGCTAAGGGCGTGACGAGATAAGCAACAAGTTGCTCCTTAATTTCAAGGCTAACTGGCGCCATCTGTACACGACGCACGCGCATCCTTGCTTTGTCAGCTCGTGCTTCAGCAGTGGCCCTGGCAGAGGCCCGGGCGTAAGCTGTGAAGTCGATGCCCAAAATTCTTGCAGATGACACGATCCACGTGTCGTTGGCCCCTAAGAGGCGCAATTGATGCTCAGTCCTGGCAGACCTACAAACGATCTTAAGCTTCCTCATGTTCTCTTCAAGCCCCAGGGCCTGAGTCCATTCCTGCCAGCTTTGCAGCAGGCGCAGAGCCTGCTCGGCACTAGCTGCGACAAGATTTCTATCGTCAAGATAAGTAACCTGTTGACAGGCAAGCCCCCTTTCAAGCTCGCCTCTTCTGACAGCCACCGTAGGCCCCGACAAAATAGCAAGCATGGCGAGCGGGGAAATGGAATCCCCTTGCGGCAACGAAGTGCCCAGGCACTGGCAATCAGGGTGGGTAGCCCACGGTACTGAATCCATCGCCTCTGGTCGCCCCAAATTTTACCGCACATAGTGGCAAGCTCAGGTGGGCACCCAAGGGATCTGAGACAGGCTAACGCAACCTCGGGCTGGGCGAAATCAAAAGCCTTTTTAAGGTCCAAGCTCAACACACAACGTCCCTTGAGGAAGGCGTCGTGGAGTAGAGCCACAGCAGTTGCAACCGAGCGGCCCTTGATGGCACCATGCGCTTCGCGCGGGATCCATTGGAGAATCCAGTCCCT